GCAAGGAGCGGCAGAAGGCCCTGGACGAGGCCGCGCGGCGCGAGGCGCGCGCCATCGCGAAGAAGGCGCCCAAGCCCCGCCGGGAGGCGCCGCCCGCGCCGCCGCCGCGGCCCGCGACCTGGGCCGAGTTCGCGTTCCCCGCGGAGGGCGACGTGCTGGAGTTCTGCGAGCTCTGCGTCTGGCTCTTCGAGTGCTTCGTCTGCATGGCCGGCTTCGCGAACCTCCAGACCTTCGCCATCTACCCGCTCTACAGCACGGCCTTCGCGACGGCGCTCATCAAGGGCGCCGAGTGCTTCGTCATCGGCAAGTTCGCGCCGCCGCCGCCGGCGCCGGGCGCCGCGGACGAACGCGACGCGTCGCCGCCGCCGCGGCGCCGGACGCTGTCCTCGGGGTCCCACGGCTCGCCGAAGCGGAACCGCAAGGGCAGCCGCTGACCCACACCACCTATGCTGATCACCCTTGTCTGGATCCACCGCCACTCCACACGCCGCGTCGCTCCGATCGACCGAAGCCCCGACACCGCTGGGGGGCTCTTCTTTTAAATCTCAGAAACAGAAGAGGAAGCGCGCGCGAGGACCCCGCCGGGGGACACACGTGTCGTCTTTTTGCTTGGCTTACCGAGCGCGCGCCGACGCGCGGCGGCGGCCTGCGGGGGCGAGCCCCCCGGGGACCGGCGCCGCGCGAACCCGCGGGGGGGATCAGCTCTTCTTGTTGTTCGGCAGGCCCGCCTCCATCTGCGCGCGGATCGCGGCCATGTAGTCCTGGACGGCGCCCGCTTCGACCTCGCTCGTCGGCTTCACGTACTCCTTGGGCGCCTCGATCGCCTCGGTCATGAGCGCGATGTGCTCGCTGTACTCCTTGTCGGGCTCCGGGGCCGACTCGTCGCTCACGCTCCGGCTCACGGCCGCCGGGGACGCCTTCGGGGAGCACGAGCCCACGCTGCGCTTCGGACCGTCCGGCGACGCTGCGCTTGCCACGGAGCCCGTGGCGACGGTGACGACGCGGGCGCCGGTGGCCGTCGCCTCCTTCGTGCTCGTCGCCTGGCCGCTCGAGGCGTCCATGGCTCTTTTGCTGCCCTGTTCCCCGCGAGCCGCGCGATGGACCGCGCGACCTGCGGCAGCTCCGACGGCACCAGCACGTCCCACAAGAGGTGCGCCGCGGCGTTCGTCCGCCGTTCCGCCGATGGCTAGACACTGGAAGCTCGGCAGTGGGCACTGGGGCAGCTTCTCGCGGTGTTGACGGATCTATCTACCTACCCCCGGCGGATAGATCTAACTAGGATTCAGGGGCTCGCTGGGCGACATCGCCGAGCCCGTCCATCTCGTGTTATGCGGCGTCCGTGTGCAAATTGTGCTGCGATATGAGAGGTTGAGAGGCGCATCGGACGGCAACTGACGGCGTGTACCGTGCGGCGACGGCACGGCTGCGCACCGGAAGTGGCCCGTAGACGACGTCGTCGCCGACGGAAGAGCCTGCCGACGGCGCGGCGGCGCGAGTCGACGGCGCGGCGCTGCGGACGACCGCGCGTGCCGTCACGGACCGCCGCGGATGTCTGCGACGCCGCCGCCGGCGGCCGACCGACGCAAACGACGAGAGGGGCCGGGGGGACCGCGCGCTCCGAACCGACGCGTTTACCGAAGCGCTCACGCCTTTCGCCCCCCCCCAGGCGAAGATGAAGACGATAAACGGCACCAAGTTCCTCAACATCCCCGAGGGGGTCGAGGTCACATGCAAGTCGCGGACGGTGTCCGTCAAGGGCCCGCGCGGCGAGCTCACGCGGACGTTCAAGCACGTGCAGCTGGAGATGGAGATGACGACGAACGCGGCGGGCGCGCCCCAGCTCAAGATCCAGCTCTGGTTCGGCACGCGCAAGCAGATCGCGACGATCCGCACGATCTACTCCCACGTGGAGAACATGGTCATCGGCGTCACGCAGGGCTTCTGCTACAAGATGCGGTTCGTCTACAGCCACTTCCCCATCAACGTCGCGCTCAACGGCCGCGTCGTCGAGATCCGCAACTTCCTCGGCGACAAGCTCGTGCGCAAGGTCAAGCTCCTCGACGGCGTCGACTACGTGCGCACGGCCGACGTCAAGGACCAGATCGAGCTCACGTCGAACGACATCGCCGCGGTCTCGCTCACCGCCGCGCGCATCCGCCAGTCCTGCGACATCAAGCACAAGGACCTGCGCAAGTTCCTCGACGGCATCTTCGTGAGCCAGAAGGGCCCCATCCCCAAGGAGGACTAGACGCGTCCGCTCCCCCGCCCACCCCCCGCGCCGCCGAGGCGGCCGGCGTCGCGATGCGCCGGCCGCGCCGAGTTATCTTTTCGCACCACTCGTCTATGGTCGCACCGGTCTGCGGCGTCGTGATTACAGGACGGCGCTCAGGCCGGCAGAGTCGTGATCACAGGACGGCGCTCAGGCCGGCGATCGCGGCGAGCGCGGACGCGACGGCCGCGAATCGCGAGACCCGGCTCGCGAAGACGCCCTCGTCGACGGGCTTCAGCGCGACGGAGAGCAGGAGGGACCCGCCGGCCCCGCCGACGCCGTTGTGGTGCAGGAGCCTCGGCACGTAGAGGAGCGACCCGTCCGCGAGCGCCTCGTCAGGACGACGTCCGAAAACTTCTCCGGCCCCGCGACGCGGAACCGCTTCGAGCCCCCGAGCGCGTAGAGCAAGTTGTCCGACAGGTCGTAGTGCCAGCCGTAGGAGCCGCTGGTCTCGCGATGCGTGTAAAAAACGTGGACCTGGTCGTGCGCCCAGAGTTTTCGCCCGACGGCGATCGCCGCGCGCCGCGACGCGTCGCGGACGACCGCGAGGCGCTCGAGCTCGCGGATGACGAGGGCGCCGCCCTCGCTTCGGAGCGATGCCAAAAGTTCGAGGTGCGCCCCGACCGTGCGGTTCTCGGGAAAGAGCATCTCGGCAATCTCGCGCGCGCCGTATTCGATGCGCCGGTCCATCCACCCGTCGACGTTGTTGACGCCCGTTGTCGTGGGCGTTGTCCTTCCAGGGTCGCACGACGAAGTAGTCGAGGGCCGGATCCGGCGCGTGGGTCGTGAGATTTTCGGCGAGCCCTCGCAAAACCTCCAGCTCTTTCCAAGTCACGCCGTGGATGATCGACGGCTCCGCGGGTGTTTCGACGACCTGCTTGGCAAACCAGCGGTCCAAGCGCGTGTCGAGGCTCGCGAAACCGACGCATAGGACGCCGAACCATCTTGCACGCGTCGCGCGCGTCGCCATCGTGAATGGTGGTTTCTTGTGGCAGATTTTTGAAGGCATGGCCTGCCATTGAGTGAGAGCCCGCGCAAAAGATGGCCAGCAGCCCGCCGCCGAAGCGCCCGCGCACGGACGGCGCGGCGCAGCACGCGGCGAAGCCCAAGGTGTTCAACGACTCCATCCTCAAGCACATCGAGCTGCACCCGGCGTGCATCGCCGTCGTCGACACGCGCGAGTTCCAGCGGCTGCGGCGCCTCAAGCAGCTCGGCCCGACGGAGTGGGTCTTCCCCGGCGCGACGCACCAGCGCTTCGCGCACTCCATCGGCGTGTCCTACCTCGCCGGCCGCCTCGTCGAGCGCCTCCAGCGGAACCAGCCGGATTTGGGCATCGACGCGCGCGACGTGCTCTGCGTCAAGCTCGCGGGCCTCTGCCACGACCTCGGCCACGGCCCGCTGTCCCACACCTACGACGGCAAGTTCGTGAAGAAGGCCTGGGCGAGGCGCGGCATAGAGAGCGACTGGTGCCACGAGCACTCGAGCGCCGAGATCTTCGCGCGCGTCGTCGAGAGGTACGGGCTCATGCGCGGCGCCTTCGCGACCTACGGCCTCCGGGACGACGACGTGCACTTCGTGCAGGAGCTCATCTACGGCGACGAGGCCGACGCGCCGCGCGGCTGGACCTGGAAGGGCCGCGGCGCGGAGAAGCGGTTCCTCTTCGAGATCGTGTCGAACCACCGCAACGGCATCGACGTCGACAAGCTCGACTACTTCGAGCGCGACTCGCACCACTGCAACATCCCCATCTCCTTCGACTCGGAGCGGCTCCTCATGCACGCGCGCGCGATCCGGGACGAGAACGGCGTCATGACCATCGCGTACGCGGAGAAGGAGGTCTGGAACGTCTACCACCTGTTCCACACGCGCTTCAATTTGCACAAGCGCGCCTACCAGCACCGGGTCGCGCACGCCATCCAGGAGATGCTCTGCGACGCGCTCTTGGAAGCGGACGACTACTTCACGCTCGAAGGCGCGGGCGGCGCGGCGGTCCGCCTGAGCGACGCGATGCGCGACCTGGACGCCTACGCGCAGCTGAGCGACACGGTCTTCGACCTGATCAAGTACGAGGCGCGCCGCGACCCGCGGCTCGCCAAGGCCGCGGCGCTCATCGACCGCGTCGACCGGCGGAGCGCCGGTTTGCTCTACCAGCACGTCGGCGAGATCGTCGTCCCCAAGGAGCACGAGGTGAACCTCCCCGACGAGGCGGGGCTCCTCGAGTCGATCCTGCGCCACGCGGATAAGGAGCAGCTGGAAAACCTGCGAACGCACGCGTACGTCGACAAGTTCGCGATCAACTACGGCATGAAGGACAAGAACCCCGTGGACTCCGTGTGCTTCTATCTCCGGGAGGACGACACGGAGGGCCGGCGGCTGCGGCGCGACCAGGTGAGCTGCATGGTGCCGAACCAGTTCGCCGAGTACTACGTCCGGCTCTACGTCCGGGAGAACGACCCGGCGCTGAAGCGCGCGGCCAAGGCCGCGCTGCTGGACTGGGAGCGCGACTACCTCGGCCGGTCGTCGGACTCGGCCATCGCGCCGTCGCCGACGAAGGCCGCGATCTCGCGGTCCAACTCGCTCCAGAAGCCGCCGCGGCTGCCGGCCGTGGCCCAGCCCGACCTCCCCCGGCCGCCGCCCAAGGCCGACTTCGGCCACTTCCAGGCCGCGGGGCCGTAAACGGAGCAAAATATTAGCGCGCGTCGTCGAAGGGGATGTCGTCCATGAGGTTGTGCGCGTCGTCGGGGATCGCGAGGCGCAGGCCGTCGAGGTCGCGGGTCAGCGTCAGCTGGCAGCCCAGGCGGCTCGTCGGCTGGGGGTCGAACGCGAGGTCGAGCATGTCGAGCTCCGCGTCGCAGGGCTCGCCGACCCTGTCGAAGTCCGCGGCGTCGACGACGACGTGGCACGTCGAACACGCCATGACGCCCGAGCACGCGCACTCGATGGACTCGCGCAGGAGATCGGCCCCCGGGCCCTCGCCCCGCTCGACGACGTCATAGAGGGACGTGCCCTCGAAGGCCTCGACGTCGAAGGTCGCGCCGCCGGCGCTCACGACGCACGTGACCTTGCGCTTCCCCTCGTCCTGCGCGATCTGCCGCTCGACGGCGGACGCGAGCGCGTCGAGGCCGTTGTCCTCGCCGATCTCGTAGGACCCGGCGAGCGTGCGCAGGAACGCGTCCAGGGAGGTCACGGGCACGCCGCTCGACGGGTCCGCGAGCGACGCGACGACGCCGCGGGCGACGGCGGCGCTGTAGGTGCGGCCCTCGCGCACCTGGCCGACGTGCACGACGAAGGCCTCGGCGTCGGCGATGATCTGCTCCTTGCTCGTGGCGAAGGAGCGCCGCGCCCGGGGATGCGGCGCGGCGCGCCGGAGCGGCGCGGCGCGCCGCAGAAGGCGTCCAAGCTGGGAGGCCATCGGGCTCTCCGACCAATTGTCTCCGACAGATAAGGCGGGGTTTGCTCCGCCAGTGGCGCCGGCGGCGCCCCTGCGTGCGCGGCGGGGTGGTCGATTAAACTCCAGGGAAACGGCGTTCCCCAGCCGTCACACCCACGTCGCGCCCAAAACCAAGGGGCGTATCCAACGCCATCGATTGTGGCGCGCGCCGCGGCCACGGACTTGTACGCCGCGGCAGCCCCGCGCACTGCAGACGAGGCCCGCGCGGTGGAATTTGGTCGGCGCCGGAACCACCTCCGATGGGGGCACCGACGGTCAGGCTTACGCCTAGGGGTCATGGAAGGCCACTCCGACCGCCGGAACGGGCTGCCGTGCGTCGGAAGCGCGTCCTCGGAGGTCTCCGTTCCCGGCCCGCGCGTACGTGTTTGGTACTCAAGCCAGCGAAACGGCTAGCCATTCGTCGCAAATCGAGCGCTTGTTTTTGGCACGTATAGCCAACGGGCGTCCCTGGCCGCTAGCAAAAAACCCTGGAGTTCAGACGGGGAGCGCGACGGCCATCGGACGCCGCCGTCGGAGCAAACCCCGCCTTGACAGATCGAGCAGTGCTCGCACACTCAGAGCTTTGCCGTGCCGCCGTCCTCTGTGACCGCTTCCGACCGCTCGCACAACCGACCGATCGACCGCTCGGCGTCGCGCCGTGCATCAGTACATACACGTGACTCTCGTCGCGCCAAACGCCGCCAAAAATACCGAGAAAATCATGTTCCTGGACATGAAAGCCTTGCTCGTGCTAATGGTGCTAAAATTTGCGAGCGCCGCCGGTAAGGACGAGACACGGATGCGCCTGACACTGCCCTGGGTCGCACTTTCTATCGGCGTCCTCATCATCGCTCTCTACTTCCTCAAGCGCTGCCACGCGCCGGCGAATCCGCCGCAATTCGTCTCTCGCGAGGTGCCGCCGGGCGGCATCAAGCCCCGCAAAGAAACGGCGTAGCGGCGCGCGAGCGGACGCCGGGCGTCGTCCATCGTGGAAGCACCGCCACACAACATCGAGGCCCGGAAAGACCGCGAAACGAGAGCGCGCGCGCGGCCTAAGGCCTCCCAGTGGGAGTCCCACGCGCGCGGCCTAAGACCTCCCAAGGGCATCGAGCGGGGGCCTTACATCAGCAGCGTCGGCCGCGCGGCACGGGGGCCGCGTCGTTCGGGGGGAAGGAGGGGGGAAAGGGAGTGGGGCGCGGTGGTCGAAGATCGCCCGGGCCGCCGCCGTCCGTCGCGGGCCTGGGAGCGCCGCGTCGCGCGGGTTGACACCAGAGGGCGGTTCCAAGAGGAACCGCCCACGCGCGCCGAGTCTTGGGTACGGTCTCGGGTCTCGGGCCGCGGGCGATGGGCCGCCGCGGTCGCGCCGTCGAATCCGCGGAACTTGGGAGCGGAACGACGGGGCAAACCGCGGCGCGGAAAAGTATGCGCCGCCACTGTCGGTGGGATAAGACCTAGAGCATGCCCGCCTGGAGCTCGCCCTGCTCCTTGGAGAACATCTCGTAGTACTGGTAGATGATGGTCACGGCGAGGAGGATGCCCGTGCCCGAGCCGATCGCGCCGAGGAGGTCCGCGACGACGGTCAAGCGCGCCGATGCACATGCCGCCGAAGGCCGCGGCCGGCGGGATGTAGCGGTTCAGCGTGTGGACGAGCGCCGAGTCGCGGTGGCCCTTCATGACCATCTGCTGGTCGCGGAGCTGCTTCGCGACGTCGCGCGCGGACGACCCGCTGACCTCGATCCACATCGTCGAGAAGACGGCGCAGCTCGCGAGGATGAAGACGAGGTAGAAGACGGCGTGGAAGGGGTCGAAGACGACCTCCGTGAGGGACCGCGGCGGCGAGATGTAGTAGGCGACGCCGCCCACGGGCACGGGCGCGTCGCCGCCGCCCTCGACCTTGCCCCACTTGCCGATGAGGCCCACGAGGAACACGCCGGGGTAGCGGTTGTAGAGCATCTGCGACAGGAAGTAGAGGTTCGACACCAGCGCCGTCTGGAGGATGATGGGCATGTTCGACGTGTAGAAGAGCTTGATGGGGTAGGAGCCCTGCTGGCCGCGGTGCTTCTGGTACTTCACCGGCAGGTCGACGCGCCAGCCCTGGAAGTAGATGACGACGACGAAGACGAACATGGTCGCCAGCAGGTTCGTCAGGTTCGGCAGGTTCTGGCGGTAGAAGGCCTCCTGGAGCGCCCGGGCCTTGTCGCTGCGCGTCAGCAGCAGGTGGAAGAACGCGACGACCGCGCCCTCGAACTCCGTGCCCTTGCCCGTGTTGATCGTCGTCGGGCTGAACGCCTTCCAGATGATGTTCTCGCAGATGTTCGTCGCGATGAAGAGGGAGATGCCCGACCCCAGCCCGTAGCCCTTCTGCAGCAGCTCGTCGAGGATGATGACGACCAGACCCGCGAAGACGAGCTGCGCGACGATCAAGATGCAGTTGCCGTAGCCGAGCTCGCCGACCTGGCCGTACATGCCGCTGCCGACGTAGGCCACGGCCTCGCCCACGGTGATGAGGATGCCGAAGAGCTTCTGGGCGCCGCCGAAGAGCGCGCGGTCCTCCTTGAGGCCCTGGTTCACCTCGATCAAGCGCGCGCCCGCGAGGAGCTGCATGACCATGCCGGACGTGATGATGGGCGAGATGCCGAGCTCCATGAGCGTGCCCCGGTTCGACGCGAGGATGACGCGCATCCAGTAGAACGGGTCGTTGGACTTGGCCGTCTTGATGCCGTAGATGGGGATCTGGCAGCTCACGAGGTAGATGAACAGCGTCGTCACCGTCCACAGGATCTTCTCGCGGAAGGGGATCTTGCGGTCCGGGTGCACGACCTCGGGCAGCAGGCCCATGACGGGGCGGATGAGGTGGAGGAAGCGCATCTTTCGCAAAGACCTAGAGGGGCGGCGGCTCGGCGACGGCGAGGACAGAAAGTGCGGCGGTTATGAGGCGATCGCGCGGCGTTTCGCCGCGTTTCGCGCGGGGCGTCTTCTCGGTCGCGCGGCGCGCTCTCCGGCGCTGCGCGGCGCGACGCGGCGCGATGAGTGGGGCCGGACGCGGGCGGCGCACGACGCCGCCGACACTGAAACGTGGAGTGGTCCTCGGCGAGCTCGCAGGCGGCCTCAAGCACCGCGAGTAGCGTTGCTTCAACTTGCAGAGCGCGCCTCGCATGTCGGCCTGCTAGGCGACGCTCCGGATGGACGGCCATCCCGAGCCGGCACGCCCCGACCGCTCCCGAAACCGGAGCTCGCACCCACCGCCGTCGATGGCGACGCGCTTCGCTGCCGCGAACTTGTACGCCGCGGCGGCCGCGCGGGGACGACTCGGAGGCTTATGCTGGGCAGATTGGTCGGGCCGCCGGACGTCGCTGGGCGCCGGCCCAAACCCACACATTCTCGGTGGGGCGCGTCGGCCATCCCGAGGACGCTGTCGAGGCGCCAAAGACCCCGGCTGATGCCCAATCGATGATGATGATGCGCGTGGCGGCACGCATCGCAGCGCTCTGGTGCGCCGCCGCCGTGGCGCTCCAGCGGCCCGCGCCGCGCGCGCGGCCGCAGCGGTCGGCGCTCCGCGCGGCGCACGTTTGCGCGCCCGGCGACTACGTCAAGGTCGACTGGTCCATCGCCTGCACGAGCGGCAAGCCCATCCCGGCCGACGAGCTCATGTTCGACCAGGGCGAAGTAGCATTTCAGGTCGGCGCGGGCAACTACCTCCCGGCGCTCCACGGCCAGCTGCTCAGCAGCGAGCTGGCCGTCGGCGAAACGGCAACGTTCGACGTCGCCGCGGCCGACGCGTTCGGCCTCAAGGACCCGCGCTTGGGCCCGCTCGCCGTGCCCGCGGCCCAGGCGCCCAGGGGCATGAAGGCCGGCGACCTGGCCGGACTGGAGAACGGCATGATGGCGAGGGTGGTCTCCGCCGACGACTTGGAGGTCGTCATCGACGCGAACCACGCCCTCGCGGGCGAGGATTTGGCCATGTCCGTGACCTTATTAGCACCACCCTGCGCCACGACCCTCGAGGAGGCGACCTTCGCCGGCGGCTGCTTCTGGGGCGTCGAGCTCGCCTTCCAGCGCGAGCCCGGCGTCGCGGCGACGGCCGTCGGCTACGCGATGGGCGACGTGCCGAATCCGACGTACGAGGCCGTGTGCTCCGGCGCGACGGGCCACACGGAGGCCGTCAAGGTCATGTACGACCCGGCTTTGGTGAGCTTCGAGCGCCTCTGCGACCTCTTCTGGGACCGGCTGGGGGAGAACCGGTACGCGCCGAACCAGGTCGGCAACGACCGGGGGACGCAGTACCGCCACGGCATCTACTACCGCGACGCGGCGCAGCGGGACGTGGCCCTGAAGACCTTCGACGTCGAATCCGCGCGCTTCCCCGAGCGGAAGATCGTCACGGAGGTGCTGCCCCTCACGATCTTCTACGACGCGGAGGACTACCACATGCAGTACCTCCAGAAGAAGGGCCAGTCCGCGAAGAAGAACGACGAGGCGACGATCCGCTGCTACGGCTAAGAGCGGAGGCCGCTGCTAAGAGGATGGAGCGTCGGTGCGAAGGCGTTAGTCCGCGGAAGGGAAGGAGCGGCGCGCGATCTTACATCTCTGATCGTTGATCGCACTGCGTCGCGTCCTCTCCTCGCCGGGTCCGGCCGCCGCCGGCGGGCGGGCGTGGCG